TTGGGCCCCTGTCTCCAAGACACGTGATTTACCTGACCCTATCACTGACCACCATTACTCACCCTACCTACCCTTTCCCCAGCTTTGTACTCAATAAAAGTCAGAGTGTCCAGGCACTCTGGGCCACTGCTGGGCTCTGCGCTTTGGTTGCAGTGGACCCCTGTGCCCAAACTCTGTTTTCTCTTTCTTGGTGTCTTGTGTCTTTTATTTCCACAGTTTCTCGTCTCCACACAAGCAGAGAGGGACTCACGGGACCCTGCAGGGCTGGACCCTACACTTAGTCATTTCTAGTTTTTGATTGAAAGGGAGAGATGTAAAACTTCCCTTCATTTGAACACTTAGAGGCCATTGTGGGGTTATTAATTGTCCTAATTTCAGTAGCGTTGTGTCTCAAGATATAGAAAGGCCCCAAGAGAGGGAAAAAGATGGGGAACACCTGGTCAATGGAGCAATCAGGACATCTACATTTATTGATTTAATTTTGCTATTTTATATGACTGTGGTTTTTCATGCACCCTCCCTAATTACAACAGTAACATCAGAGATTAATAATCATGATCACAGATATAATAATATAAATAACATATAATATGTTGATATTATATCTGTGATCATTATTATATAGTAGAATAATATTATAACAGATATTATAATAATAATAAAGATTGAAATATTGTGAGAATTACCAAAATGTGACACAGAGACAGGAAGTGAGCACATGTTCTTGAAAAAAATGGTGACCGTAGACTTGTCTGATATGGGATTGCTACAAACCTTTAATGTGTAAAAACACTAGAGCAAAGTACAATAGAACAAGGTATCCCTGCAGTGCTACGACAAAGGTGACATGGAGCACTGGATTTGTTGGCGTCACTGCTCATCTAGAAACTTGGAAGGAGGCTGGGCAGACCCCTTGCCAGCTCTAGCTCTTGTTCACATGAACTCAAATCTTCCCAGACTCTGAATTGCTAGAAATTCTTCCTATCCTACCACTGACCAGCTGAGGGTGTCTGTATTTTCTGCTGCTCCAAACCTGATGCCTGGGTCTCCTGGGATGAAATGACATCTGGGGATGCTGTTATCCTGTTGCATCTCTGCTCTGGCTTCTAGGTCTCACCCCATTTTCTGGTGATCTCCAATCCACATGCCGTTCAGTTAGGACCTGACGTTCTTATAGCTCCCACTCGAGGAGTCTCTAGATTGCTTTTTTTTTTTTTTTTTTTGAGACGGAGTTTCGCTCTTGTTACCCAGGCTGGAGTGCAATGGCGCTATCTCGGCTCACCGCAACCTCCGCCTCCTGGGTTCAGGCAATTCTCCTGCCTCAGCCTCCTGAGTAGCTGGCATTACAGGCACGCGCCACCATGCCCAGCTAATTTTTTGTATTTTTAGTAGAGACGGGGTTTCACCGTGTTGACCAGGATGGTCTAGATCTCTTGACCTCGTGATCCACCTGCCTCGGCCTCCCAAAGTACTGGGATTACAGGCGTGAGCCACAGCGCCCGGCTCTAGATTGTTAACCTTCTGCTTCAGGAAACGCTCTCCTCCTGAATAACTCCTCAATTGTGGAAGAAATCACATTTTCTCCAGTCCCTACACCTCTGCCTGCTCATGAAATGCTGCATTCCTGGGGTGACTAGGTAGCTCCCGTTCTGCTGTCTACACCTCACTCACCCTTCCCTAAGGGCATGGGAGATTTGTCTGGTGGGCCAGTGGGTAGTCCCTTCTCTGCACTCTTCTTTGGAGCCCCTGCCCACAGGGTTCACTTGTGTCCATGCACACTTGTGCCTCTGTCACCAGCCCCTTCAGGGCCTGACTTAAAAGGTAACTTCTCGGTGAGCTCTTCCCTGGTTACCTTACTGGAAACTCTGTTCTACCTTCAACACTGACCACGCCTTATTCCTCTTCACTGCTTTAATTTCCTCTTTAGCTCACATTACTATTAAAAATATGTATGTATACATACACATACACTCACAAACACTTTTTAATAGAGATAACTTAGTTATCTTTTTGTTTGACTCCTCCAATCATGTTCTGATGAATGTTTTACCACTGACTGTTCACAGAGGGTGGGGTGGGGACGATGGGTAGTGCTTGCCAGTGGTGTAAACATTCCCACCAGGGCTAATTTGCAAGAATGGCTATGTTCAAAAACCGGCTTGCAAAATTCCTGAGAATTTCACAATTTGGTCTTGCAAACCCATTTAAGCCAGTTCTAAGATACCACGGGCTGTCCCCACAGTGAGACATTCCATGAGGGTGTCCCATGAGGGTGGAGGTTTCTGCATGCTTTGTTAACTCCTATAACTTCAACCCTCTACATAGTTTTTGGTCCATAGTAGAAGTTTCATAATTAGCTGTTAGATGAAAGAATGAGTATAAACACATACTTCATAATTGGGATAATTATATATAAAGAACGATGCATTCTGTTATTTTCACTTATGCTCATAATGAGAACTTTGCCCATGCAGTTACATCTTATTCTAGAATATTTAAATGATGCTTCAATGATTAACCTTGGGGTACACTTTGTTGCACTGCTATTTTATATTTAGGTAAATTTCATCTCATTAAAAATAACACTATTATACATATCTTTGAACATAAATATTTACTCACATTAACTAGGTCAGACATGGTGGCATATTGCTTGTGGTTAATAAAATTATACTAAAAGAAGTCTGAGAAATAAGTTTGAGAAGATTTTGATAATATTCTGAAATTAAAATGACATATGAATGTTTGACCAAATACAACTGATATTAGAATTTTAAGAAACTAAGCTAATTAGTTTTTTAATTTTTAAGAAATTTGGTATATACCATAAAACAGATAAGGAACCCAGAAAATTGACTTTCTATAGATACAAATGTAATATGTAAAACAATACTATGCAGGATAGACATTAAAAATATGTTGGGGGTAATTTGTAGCAATATGAAAAAATTAACTTAGATTCATGCTTAGTATTATATTGTAAAACAAAGCCAAAGTAGATAAAATAATTTTAAAAAAACCCTAAAATTGCTAAAGTTAGAAAATACATTTAATACAAAGACTATGGAAATGAGAATTTTTCAAGGATTAAAGCAATAGAAAAAAATAAATAAGTTCAACAAACTTAAAAATATAATAAAAATTTAAAATTATATTCTACAAACACTAACAGAGTTAAAATTGAAATAAAAATTGTGACAACTGTGACAGGTATAGTTTTGTTAAAATCTTATCCCAAACTACAAAATTCTATGAGGTCAGAAATGGACAAGAGGTTAAATAATACAACAATAAGTTTTATTTTAAGTAAAGTATAAATGATAAACACACATTAGGAAAAATAAAAATAAAGCAATACAAAGTAGAATTTTATAAGCATAGCTCGTATGCTTAGTTCAAGTCTCTTTTCATTTATCACACCACCTGGATTGATTCCATTTTAATTCTGCCATGTCTTCACTGAGTTATTCATTGATTCAAATGTGGATCTCAATTTGTCCATTCCAAATTCAGTCATGGAGGCTCCAAAGGAAGTATCAGAAGCTTGCCAAGGTAACCAACAGATCCTAAAGCTGATGTGTGATTGTATTGTCCTGAGAAATATTAGAATAACATTCTTTTGTTCTTCCTCAAGAGAAGTAAAACCTCAAAGACTCAGTAAGCCAGAAGCAAATATATTTCAGATCCAAGTGAATTGCCTTGAGATTCCTTCACATTTGGCCCCTATGTGAAGCTTAAACACAGAGATAAGTGCATTTGTGTGCACTGGATTCCACTGGTGAAATTTTGTTATGAAAACAAGGATCATTATGAGAGTATCCAGCTTCAGAGGGGGCTGTGCGTCACTAAATCATGGATTGCCAGGTGGTAGAAGAGATGGCAATTTTTGTCTGATCTGAACCTGCAGAGGCCCCATCTCCACACAAACCAGTTGGGCACTGATGGTATTTGTTTGTTTTGTTTCCATGTCACTGATATAGACTTCAGAAAGTTATGGCTGCAAGGATTATGAATGCCAGCCTGGGAGGCTCAAAGGACTCAGGGAGAAAACAAGCACCAATAGTTATTTTAAGAGTAATGACAATGATTATGACAAATAGCTGGCTACGATTTTTGAGAGATGAGAACATGAGGTGAACTTTGTGTTCTCTCTGGTTTCTGCATGGAGTCACTTTTCACACTGTGACATGAGGAAGTAGAGCTCCGTAAAGAGCTGCAGTCTCACTCATCAGTAAAGTTGGATGTTCGGGGCCATGAGGGTGTGGGGCACCTAGCCACTGTCATGGAGCTACTTAGAAAAGGGAACTAGTAGCCATTCCACAACGTACACATCTTTCAAAACACTGTGACATATACCATAACATATATAACTTTTCAATAATTAAAAAAAAAAAAAAAAAAAACTATGGGGGAAAAAAAAAAAAAAAAAAAAAAAAAAAAGAAAAGGGGCACCAAAAATATTTGGGATCTCTTGAGTCTTTGGCTGAGCACTGTACTTCATGTGCACAAGGCAGGACTGAGAGCTGCAGCTACTGGGGCTCTGAGTCAGAAGGTGGCTTCTGAGGTCATAGAGTTCTGAGAGATGCTGGAGTTCTAACCAGCAAGATCAGAATGAGCTCACTGAATGAGATGCCAAATGGGCAATGCCTCAGAGTAGGGCTCTGTTAACCCTGGACTAAGGGCTACTCTAGATGTGCCTTAACAAAGCTGAGATCATTCCTTGTCAGACTGATGCTTATCCACCAGTAAATAAACTGCCTGTTACAGCAAAAATTGATACCTTTTGAAGGAAGAAAAAGAAATTCATTTCTCAACAATGTAACTAACATATGATTGAAAATGGAATGTAACCAGGCTGCTCCTTCTCCCCCTTTCTCTCGTGGAGGCTGAGAGACTGGCCTTACACAACATGGCTGCCTGGTGGGTCTGCTGTCCTAGAGTGGACAGAAGCAAGTGACTCTGTAGTCAACTTCTGACTTGGACTCTGAAGCTCATTACAGAAAGATCTAGAAGAGGTAAAGGTGTTGCTGGAAAAGGCTACTAGGAAAAGAATATATGATGCCCTTAGAGCTGAAAAATCCAAGATTGAGACAGAAATCAAGAACAAGATGCAACAGAAATCACAGAAGAAAGCAGAACTTCTCGACAATGAAAAGCCAGCTGCTGTGGTTGCTCCCATTACAACAGGCTATACAGTGAAAATTAGTAATTATGGATGGGATCAGTCAGATAAGTTTGTGAAAATCTACATTACCTTAACTGGAATTCATCAAATTCCCACTGAGAATGTGCGGGTGCATTTCACAGAGAGGTCATTTGATCTTTTGGTAAGGAATCTAAATGGGAAGAGTTACTCCATGATTGTGAACAATCTCTTGAAACCCATCTCTGTGGAAGGCAGTTCCAAAAAGTCAAGACTGATACAGTTCTTATCTTATGTAGAAAGAAAGTGGGAAACACAAGGCGACTCAGGTTGAAAAAAGAGTGCAAAGAAAAAGAGAAGCTCTCCTATGACACTGAAACAGATCCAAGTGAGGGATTGATGAATGTTCTAAAGAAAATTTCTGAGGATGGAGATGATGATATGAAGCGAACCATTAATAAAGCCTGGGTAGAATCGAGAGAGAAGCAAGCCAAAGGAGATACAAAATTTTGAGACTTCAAAGTCCTTTTTGGGAACTGTGATGTGATGCGGAAATACTGATGTTTCCAATAAGGGAATATTGGTGAGCTGCATATATAAATTTGACAGATAGCTATTTACATAGCCTTCTAAGTAAAGGCAGTAAATTCTCCATTTCCTGCTGGAGGATTTATTTAAATGAAATATGCTTATTAAACACACACACACTAAAATAACATATGATTGAAAATTACTAGGCATGAGAAGAAGTAGGAAAAGTCAATATAAACAGACTCAAATGAGACAAATTTTTCAATTAGCAGGCATGGACTTTAAAACAGCTAATATAAATGTACTGAAAGATTTCAATGAAAAAATAAGCAGAATAGTTGAACAGAAGGGGAACAGGATCAGAGACATGGAAACCAGAAAGTAAACAAAATATATATTCTAAGACTAAAACATTATTATATTTGAAGTGAAAAGTTCAATAGATAGACTTAAGACAAGGCTATATACATTAAAAAAGAAAACATTAATGGCCTGGAAGAAAACTCCCTAAACTAAAAAAACAAAGAGAATAACTTTTTAAAAAAGAACAGAGCCTCCTTATTGAGAAGTCAACAAGGACTAGTGTTGTGAAGGGAGCATGGTCTTGGAGTTGTTAAGGCCAGGACATGAAACATGAATTTACTTATGCCTCAATACATCATTTAACTTCTGTGGCCTGATTTTTTAGGTGGAGATATTGTGGGGTGGGGATGAGAAGGCATATATTGCATAAAAAGTGAGGTAACTCTGGAGGCTGGGATGAGAGGATTGCTTGAGTGCAGGAGTTCAAGGCTTCAGTAAGCTATGACTGCGCCACTGCACTCTAGCCCGGGAAACAGAGTGAGACTCTCTCTCGAAACAAAAACCAAAAAGCGAACAAAGAAGTGAGGTCATAAAGTATAGAGAGATAAAAGGACTAGCCCAAGATCATAGAAACAGTAAAATTCAGAATGGGAAATCAAACGTTTATCTTCTGATGCTCAGTCTAACACATAAGAGCTGAAGTGAATGTGTGTGAAAGGGTACTTTTTCTGGCAGTTCCCAGCCTCAGTTCCCCTTGGCTCAGAAACACAGGCCAATCTGCGGTGTTATCAGTCTGCCCGGGCACAACCTCCACAGAGTCAAGGTTCCCAGATCCCACAAGGCAGCATCCTCACCCTACTCCGGTGCTGAAGCTGGGATACTAAGCAGAGTGTCAGTAGAAACCCCGAGAAAAAGCTGAAATCTCCTGCTTTTCCTGATGGGCGAAGGTGGAAAGACATTACTTGTCAGATTCCAGCTTCATCTGGAAAGACCTGGGTAGGGCTGGCTACATCAGTGTCTGCTGCCTGCAGTGAGACCAAAGAAGTAGCCCGTAGTGCCCATTCATTCAGTCAGCAAACATTCAATGAACGTCAGTTCTGTGCCAAGTGCTGCCGGGGGCTTTAGAAGAGTAGCAGTGGATAGGACAGACCCCGTTCTTCTTGTGGGTTCACTGCATTGTGACTTGGTGACCCTTCCAATGATGTGGGTGCAGGGACAAGAATTCCAGACCTATTAAGCAAACCTGCTTCCCAGTATTTCTTCCTTTCTCCTGTCAGACCCCTAAAGATAAGGGGAAAAGCTGAAATACTAGGCATCAGTTTAGGGGTGCAGAGAAATTTCAGTGACAGCTTTGGGGATTTGGAGGACCCTATTTGGAGGTGATATCTTCGATCCCCACCCTGTCCCGCTTTGGTCCCAGCAGGGCTCAGTCCCACATGGACACTTGTGGACACATTTTTCCTGTGCCTTGTCCATCTCCCTACCCAGTCCTCAGGGAGTTCACTGTTGACATGTTCTTTCCATGACTCAGAGCAGTTATTCACCTTGTTGATCAGGTGAGGGCACTGGGTCAAACAATAGGACCAAGGTGCCAGTGACGTATCTTGTGAGAGACAGACACAGGTGGGGACCTGGGCCAAGGCTCCTGCCTCTCAGGCTCTTGCCCTCCAGAGCATCCCAGGGCTTCTCTCTTCGGCTTTCCCTGCCCGGGCCCAGGACCTCCTCTGCAGAGGGGAGCAAATCTCTCTGGGGCTGATGTGGCAAATCTTCTGACAAAAACCTGGCTTTTAGTTTGGCCTTCCTGCTTGGATCTTGTTTGAGCCCTGATTCTGGGTGAAAGAAATAGGGGAGCCTGCGTCTATCTTGCTGGCTGCCGGGGGCTGGGCACACCCTTTGCAGGGCCTGGGTGGTGGGCTCCCATCATCCTGCTCTCATCCAGGGAGCTGAGCACATTTTCAGGCCCAGTGTTTGCTGGGCCGGCTGCCAGGCACTCGCTCCACACAGGGCTGTGCCACATCCCCACTTTCCTGGAATTCAGGGAGTAAGAATAAAGCCGACTCCTTATTCATTCCACAATTATTTTTAGTTTCATTTTTCAGGCAGCCCCTATGACATTGTTTTCCCAGGAACTCTGAAGCAGTGAAACCATGAAACATTCAAACACTATACATGGACTGTTTATCAAGAAAACAATCACAGAAAAAAATTCCACAAATTTGCCTAGTGAGAATTTCGGTGTGGGGAGGAGGAGATGGGAATGGCCAAGGGGAAGGTCAGGTTTCCCCTGAAATGCTGACCAGCAGGACAGGCCTGGGGAAGCATCCGTAAGTACACACACAGGCACACAGAGACGCTGGGCATGCTCTCCTGTCTTGGTAAGACTCTTCCAACAACTAGAAACACTCATATTTCCTTTTAGATAATTTATGAAGTACTTTTAAACACACCCACTCCCTTGGGGGGGAGATTGTTCAAGCAAAAACCTAACTTTTGTTGATGGATTGTTGGCTATTAAGGGATATTAGTTCAGCATGATTTGATTTGGGAGTTTGATTGAGGGGAGCAAGGGAGGCCCAGCTTGTTCAGTAGACAAAGCCTCAGGCTAAGAGAGCCTGGGCTGCGATCCTCCTCCCCATCCCTCCCTGGGCACAGGCCGGCGGGTTCTCCCTGCCTCACTTTTCCCTCTGGTGTTTGCTCCTGTCATCCTCTTACTCAAAGCTTAAACAAGGGGGACAGCAGGGCCCTGGGTCTTAGAGGCCTGGGCACTAGTTGCCTGTCCCCTGGGGATATCTCAAAGAGGAGCCGGGTACTACGTCGGGTCAGGCCGTTGCACCAGAGCTTGCTGCCTTGGTGTTTAAACGCTGTGACTCTCAGAGTTCCGGGGCTGGAAAGGCCACTTGAGGCCCAGAGGGGGCTGCGGTTGGATGGACTTTCCTCTACCTGCTTGTCCATCTGTCTGTCTGTACTCAGCGATGCTGCCCTTGGTCAGCTGCTCAGCAAGAGCAGCAGAGTAAGGGTGAGTTTTTGCCACCTCAGCTAGCAGAAATCTAAAGACTCCCCAACAAAGAAGAAAAGGAAAAAAGAAAGCATGCTCGGGAATGTAGTTAGAAGGAAATGTGCCCCGCTGACCATCATTCCTATCTGGGCCCCAAGCGGCTGGGTGGGCGATGGAGGGGCCCAGGACCACAGAAACACACATTTCCTCTGCGAATCTCTGCAATCCTGCAGCTTCAGCGACTAAAAGGCTAAACCTTCCCTTAGTGGCGAATCCAGATGGCCTGAGTGTTGTTCCCAGGCCCTGGGGCTACACACAGCTCCAGCTGCCACGTTTCCTCATTTGGAAGAATGAAAACAAGGCCTTGGGCTGTCTCTGAGCTTTCTAATTGGGCCACCAGCTGATCCACATGGCCTTATTTCTTTTAACCAACTTGACCTTCTAACATGAGCAGGGAAATGCGTATTTGCTTAAGCTTGTATTTTCCATAGTTATATAGCAAAATCCCATTTTTATAAGCATAGTTTAGCTTACAGCGTAATAAGGCCCCATCGAGCCATCCAAAAAAAAGTGAATTGGGCTTCCTTCCAGTATGAGGACCCAGTTGCTGGGAGGAACGGAGGTCCTGGGGTGGCAGTGGCTCCTCTTGGGGTGTGCATGAGGTTCTGGTTCCATCCTGCATGAAAAAGATGGCAGATTCACACCACATGGGTGGACCTGGAGGGCATCGTGTGCAGTGAAATAAGCCCATCATAGAAGGACAAGTGCTGCGTGATTCCACTTCTGTGAGGTTCCCAGGGCAGTCAAATTCATAAGCAAAAAGAATGGTGTTTCCAGGGACTGCGGGAGGAGGAAGGAGGAGCTTTTATTTAATGGGGATAGTTTCTGTTTTGCAAAATGAAAGGAGTTCCGGAGATGGATGGTGGTAATGGTCGCACAGCAGTGTGAATGTATTTAATGTCACAGAACTGTACACTGTAAAAGCTTAAGATTGTTCACTTTTCACTACAACTAAAAAGATATTGGGGAGGATTGAGGCCAGCCAGCCCATTTCCCTGAGGGGTACAGAAAATGTCCCTAGGCTTCTGCATCTGCATCAGTGTAGAAACCCACTGCTCTACACTTCATCTCGGTGGCAATGGTGACCCTGTAAGTTCTCATCTCTGTAGGAATCCTCATTTATGATTCTGGCATAAAACAAAGGGCAAGCCTCACTGTGACCCATATCCAGGGATGGGAACTGGAGCTTGGTTAGTTTGTACATGCTTTGGTTTCAATACGAGCTGGACCGCGATCCCGTTGTATCCATGAGGCCTTCCTTAATTCACTTGTTTGTTCTTTTCTTCATCATTCACAAGCTTTTACAGGGAACACGTTTGGGACCAGACCTGCACTATGAAAACGCAGTGAAATCCTTGGTTCCAGACTGAAAGGAATGTTGAGTGTGAAATGCGCTCACTCCATACACAGCTGCAGACATTCTGACTTTGAGCTTTTGTTTCATGGAAGATAAATAGTACTTTGCTCATAGATGAGTCTGAAGAGTAGATAGCATGTGCCTATGTGTGCATATGTCCCTGTGGGGAGAGTTACAGATGGAACTCCTTGCTACTTCATCTTTGCCATAGGGTCCCCGTGTGCCTCTCCTCATCACCAGGGTGCCCATGCTAGAGAGCAGGCAGGAATGCTTCCAGGTACACACCGAGGGAGGGGCACACTGGAAGCTGATAACAAGAGCATAAAACCTTACTAACTCACTGTAAACAATGACCCAGCTCAGCCTGCAGGAACCAGAAAGGCCCCCGGTGAGCTCTCTGTTGGAAATGGCATCTGCCCTAGTGGAAGAATTATTTCTTCGAGAAAAGAAAACA